ACCTTCCCTTTCTTACCCCAGACACAGCCAGGTATGCTTCTTTCCACATGTGCCAGATTGAAGAGCCCACAAATTCTAAGTCTTCTCTATGGCTAATTCCAGTCAGCTAGTCACGGGCTGCACACCCTGATTCAAAATTAACTTCTTTAACACAGTGTCACAGTGCAATCAAATATCCCACAGCAGGTACTCTTTGTATTGGTAATAAATTAACATTTTTAAAACAGAAAAGAAATGAAAAATTATCTCAGAAAACTAGGCAAGGGATGTAAGCAGACAGTTTGCAAAAAGGAAATATAAACGGTTCCTATCTCCATAAGATGAGAAATACAAAGTCAGACTGTACTTGTTACTCACTCAGAATCACAAGCATCTAAAAGACCAATAAACTACACTCTTGGCGAGGTTATGGGAAATAAACATTCTCCTGTATTGCTAGTACACAATGAAACAGATACTTGGGGGGGAGGATTGGTAGTATCGAGCAAAATTGGCATTCATTTGCTCTTTTTCTGAGAAAGCTCACTTCTAGGATTCCATTCTAGATGTAAAAAAAATTGCAAAAGATATGTGGTAAAGTGGGTTCAATGTGGAAGACGCTGTAACAGTGAATCTAATAAAATCAAATAGCCATAAGCTCAGGGGTCGGCACACTGAAGCTCATCGCAGAGCTATTGTTATACAGCTTGCAAGCTACGAGTGGCTTCAAGTCTTAAAGAGTTGTTTCAAAATGTTACATATGTTATTATTTGGTTCTTTATAGAAATGATTTGGTGAGCAATAAATCTGAATCAACATGGTATATCTGAGGCTGGGTGTAGTTCACTGGTAGAGTACCTGACTAGAATGTCCAGGGTTCTCCATTCTCTCTCCAACACCAGGAAGAGGAGAAGGGGGCAGTGAAAGAAAGAAATAAAAACTCCATCCAGCCACACAGTGAGGAAATGTGCAGCTGTAAAGAACACCTGCAATGGAGTGAAAACTAACAAATCTATCTCAACACTTTAGTTGGTGATGATATTAAAGAAACAACAAAAGAGCCTATTGGTCAATTTTTAATATTGCTTTTATTTTGGGGGATTACAATGTAATTCTACACCCATATATTCCCCAGCAATAGAACTGTCTAATCACAAGCTGAACAAGGACAACAATAGAATGACCATTCATTTTAAGGTCAGGAGAAATACCCATTATAACTTGGAGATTGACAACCATTCATGATTTTATTAAAAATTGCTGAGGTCCAGAGTGGCTCTTTGGAAATCTTCCGTCTACTCTTAAGAAAGAGATCTGCATTGCCCATAGATTTCTTTGTTTTTAAATCCATTCTGCACTCCATAAGCTTCTTGAATTAATCACTCATCGCCCCCCAAATTTAGTTATGAAGCAGAATCACCCAGTCTTTTTTTCAACTTAGATGTCAGTCCCATGCCCGCTCTTTTGAGCCAGAATCCCTGAATTCCTGAATCCTACTGGTGTTGATGGTATCAAGGCTAAACTCACTCTTGGTCTAGACCTTAAATTAGTATTTCTGCAGGTTTTTAAATCTACATCTTCTCTTGACAGATCTAAAGATGTTTTATTAACCTTTACTATTCTTAATAGAAGCCCTTGACCTTTTTAAGAATTCCTCAAACTTATCCTTATATTATGTCTATTTTATACACATTTCTGTGTTTAATATGCATTTACATGCTTTTAGGTTTTTGTTTTTTGTTTCATTTGATTTGGTTTTGGTTTGGTTTTTCAAAACAGAGCTTGCCTATGTAACAGCCCTGGCTGTCCTGGAACTCACATTATAGACCAGGCTAGCCTTGAACTTGCAGAGATCTGTCTGCCTCTGCCTCCTGAGTCCTGAAATCAAAGGTGTGCACCACCATGCCCTGCAAGTATTTATAAAGTACTTTAAATAACTACTCCAACTCTTGGGTTTGTCTTCAGACTACCTCTGGAATAATAACTAACAACCATTTAAATAATGGTAAGGTGGGCTGTGGCATATTTCCTGCATCAGTATCTTTGCCACCAAGAGCATCCCAGTTTGGGAAAATAGTTCTTTCTTTCATTCAAGAACTATTTTTTGGAGGCAGGTACACATCTGGCATAATGCTAAAGATACAACTGCAAATTAAACAACCTGTCACACAGAGGTGGTTAATAACATAAAAGTAGGGAGAAAAGTAACAAACACGAAGCTGAGGTTGGGAGTAGTCTCTATTTTAGAAACGGCATCCTAGAAAGCCCGCTCCGAAGAAGTAACATTTCAGCTATGACAGAAAAGAACCGAGTTGTGAACTTGTGGGAATGTGCCACATAAGGAGAAGTGCAAACGCAAGCCTTGAGGCGGCCGTCTCCATCTAGGAGCAGAAAGAATCAATTGGTGTATCATGGTCAGGATGCTGGGTGGAACTTTAAGACACGGAAAGTTTTTAGTCAGCAAAGTTTTCCGGATATTTTTGACTTTAAAAGTTGCTAATAACTAAATGGAGACAAAAGCCATCATCAGTTTCCTAGAAGAAACCCTATTACCTGGAATCAACCTTTTGTAGATGGGAGATGAAAATCCAAATAAAGAGAATAGAAGCTTCCTCAACCCAAGGAGAAGGGGGGAATAAGGCCACTGTTTTCCTACAAACCCAGATGGAGGCCCTCAAGCCCAGATTGAGCTACAATAATGCATAATCATCTACCATCAGGGTCCAAGAAGGAATTGGACATGTTTCTTGAGATGAATATGTGAACTGAAGTCCAAAGAGAGCTTTTTCCAAATTGCAAGAGCTGCATAAGAACCGCAGAGATCTCCCACATCCTTGGAAAGTACCATGGTTTCTAGAGTATCACTGAAACAGAATACCATCCTAAGGAACGTAGATGGTCAGAGGGCAGCATCAATCAGAACAAATGAAGAGACCAGCAAGATGCCTCAGCTAGTAAAAGTGTTCACTATTCAATCCTGCCTACCTGAATTCAATCCCTGGGTCCCTCCGTGGAAGGACAGAATCAATTCCCACAAGTTGTTCTCTGACCTCCACACTTGTGCCTATATGCATGCAAACACATCACACACACACACACACACACACACACACACACACACACAGGATTCTGAAAGAAAAAATGAAGAAATGTGACTTCTCTTGTACTTGAAAGCTATGCATGAAAAAAAATCACACCTCCCAAAAAGAAATACTGACAGCTTTAAAAGGCTACCCTGTATGTGGTAACCCATAAACATCACGCCATCTAGTGCTACTGCTCGTTTCTGCCCTCTCCTCTTTCCATTTTGCAGATGGGGTGCTGAGACTCAGGCTAAGCTTTCTCAATTTAACTAATAAAATATAAACTTATATGCCTAGTAGCCCTTCTTATATTATATTAACAGTAGTACTAAGTGTATTGAAGACAATGGATGATTACTTGGAGAACTAAAGAATGTCTGACTCACAAAATTTTAAATCAACAATCAGTGAACAGGACTTCAGTAGGTTTCCAGACCTTAACACCACTGACTCTATGCTGGACGTTCCCATTCAGGATGTAAAACCTGCCAAAACTAAAACAAAGTCCTAATCCATCAAAGTCCACAGTTCTGGGAAAGTCTCTAAATGTACTAACTTTGCTTTTTTCCTTCTGTAGTTCTGCTTCAGGATAACTGCTCTTGTTAACTGAAGTGTGTCAACCCAGGATGTGGTTTTTGTTCTTAAAAGATCACCCACAAGAAGGCTCAGTGTTACACTGGGATACCGAGCATCCATTATAGTCACCAACCAGCTAATAAAATTTTTGTATTGGTGGAAACCCATGTGCTAGCATCCCTCTCTAGTGACTACTCCACAATATCAGTTTGCCTAGTTTTCTGTGGACTACTGAAGAGATCTAAATATTCAACACATTTGGTTTAGGTTCAATATATAGGACACTATGACCAGTATTAGTGGGGGTAAAGAAGATAAGCCCAAAGCTATGCTCAACAAGCAAAAGTCTATCATGAAATAAAAGCATGCAAATGAGGATAAGAGAGCTAACTAGAACAGTGCAGAACATTTCTTCAGTATGTGTGCATCCTTAGGGTAGTAAAGAAAACCCCTAGAGAAGATACAAGTGATGAGGAAGTGATTTCAAACACTGGGAAGGATGCTTATATACTTTGTTTTTTGTGTTTGAGTAGCATTAGTAGGCTGTCTTGGTTAGGGTTTCTATTGAAGTGAAAAGACACCACGACCAAGGCAATTCTTATAAAGGAAAGTATTTTATTGTGGCTGGCTTATAATTTCAGAGGTTTAGTCTGCTATATTCATGGTGGCATACAGGCAGACATGGTGCTGGAGAAGGATCTGAGAGTTCTACATCTTAATCCACAGGCAGCAGAAGCAACTGTGTGTCACACTGAACATAGCTTGAGCAAAGGAGACCTCAAAGCTTGCCTTCATAGTGACACACTTCCTCCAACCAAGGCTACACCCACTCCAACAAAGTCATGCCTACTAATAATGCCACACCCTGTGGGAGTCATTTGTTGGACCCTTCCCACATAGGGACTGCTAACTAGCTCGTGACTAGGAGTGAGCCTATCCTGTTCCCTCCTTCCAATTAGGTAGGCCTGTATGCAAGTTCCTGTTTTCTGTCAATCCTTATTGTCTAAATTCAAGTTCCTGTTATCCACCCATCCTTTGCCGGAGGGCCCTGGGAACATGAGCTTCTGACCTTGGTAGTTTTCCACCATGCCTGCTGACTGGTTTATAATGCTCTGCTCTTTTTTTTTTTTTTTTTTTTTTTTTTTTTGGTTTTAGGAGACAGGGTTTCTCTGTCTTGTTTTGGAGGCTGTCGGTCCAGCCCAGCCTTGAACTCACAGAGATCCACCTGCCTCTGCCTCCCAAGTGCCTGGCTCTGCTCTTGTTACAATAAATGCCATTCTCCTTGTAAGAATGAGTCACTGTCTTTTGTCTTCATTTAAATCCTCAGGCTCTCGCCCGAATCATTAAGAAGTGTTGTACCTGAGATCGCTGCAAATGGAGGTCCCACAGAGATCAGGAAAGAAGGACAAATGCTGAAGGATCACACTCGAATGCTGGCCAGCAAGTAAGGTAGGACGGTGTATTTGGATAGGGGCACCAAATTAGGGGTACCGAGTTAGGCTCCAGCCCTCACCCGATCCATCAAGGTAGGGAAAGTTAGGGATTTACTGAGAGTCAGCCCTCGCTGAAGGCCAGCCAGCATTCTCATTAAGGTTAAGAATGAGTGTATTGAACATGGGTGCTACTAGTTCTTACCTTCTTATGGAGGAGCAATTGATCCAATTGCTAAAAAAAGCAGGGCACCAATAACAGACATAAGACAACAAAAGACTTTTTAAAAACTATACATAAAGTCAGCCCTTGGTTTTTGGTCACTGGTGATCTTAATTTCCTCGACTGGGGACAGATGAAAGTAGACCTGTAAAGGACTTTACACAAAGAAGGGCCAAATACCACGCCAATTGTTGCCTTTTCTCTGTGGCATCTTGTTACGGACGCGCTTATTAGGATAATGTGGTAGTGAAAGAGCAGGTAGAGAAAGCTAAAGATGCCTTTGCAGAGGCTCAGGACCAAGGGTCTGTTAGATCAGCTCAAGCTTCCAATGCTTCCTCTTCTGAGTACTCTCCCTCTTCTTCAGGGGCCGAGACTGAGGAACACAAAGAGAAGGGCGTTCTCAAATTAAAACATAAACTTAAAAAATGCTCCCTTGAGCCGCGTCCCCCTGCCTGTAATCCTAAAAGTTCCAGTTCTCTCTGTCTTTCTTCAGTCCCTCCTGGGGTGGGGAGGGGCAGAGTGGGTTTTTTTGTTGTGGGGACAGTTGATCCTCGGGGCCAGGGTTGGAGAGAGCATTCCCCCCTTGGCTTTGGGGATGTGAAACGGTTGAAGGAGGCGGCTGTGGCATGTGGGCCTCATGCCCCTTTCACTCTGGCCGTTATTTAATCCTTTGCAGCCTTAAATTGTGCCTCCAATGATTGGCAGTAATGATGTCATGCTGCACTGTCAGGGAGAGATTGTTTGGTCAGGAGGGGGGAATGCCGGGAACTGTGTGGCCAGACAGCCCGGCGCTGCACAGCATGACTGCCGGTTTTCCTGGTGGAAATATGTTTTGTTTTTGGTTTTGGTTTTTCGAGACAGGGATTCTCTGTGTTGTTTTGGAGCATGTCCTGGAACCTGCTCTGTAGACCAGGATGGTCTTGAACTCACAGACCTCGAACTCCGCCTGCCTCTGCCTCCGGAGTGCTGGGATTCCCTGGTGGAAATTTGGAGGTGCTTTCTTGCACAGGAGCCTGTGTGGCTCTGGGCCAGCAGACTCTTTGTGACCCGGCTGTTTGTGTGCAGATCTCAGTGGCTGCTGGCCGCATATTTGGGGGTCTTCAGACCACCTTGGGATTGGCTGACTTGCGGGTAGCACCAGCTTCATAATGGGGTACGCACTCAAAAAGTCAGTCTTCTACTGGACACCCTTCAAATGCTAAATGATTTTCAAAAGCTTCTGGGAGCTATCAATTGGATCAGACCTATCTTTAAAAGCCTTAGAAAAAGCCTGGGCATAGTCTATATAAAAACACTAACTCTAAAATTGTTAGTGTTTTGCTCTGCTCACGCTCCTACAGGAGTTTTTTTTGGCAAGAGAGTCCCATTCTTTGGGTTCACTCTCGAGCCTCCCCGTCTAAGTCTGTGGTGTCCTATCCCCAAGTTATAGTTGTGCTCCTATTTAAAACGCAAAAGGTTGCCATACAAATCTTTGGTAAGGAGCCAGATCAGGTTGTTACACCTTTGTCCTGTCAACAAATAGAGTGGCTACAAAATAATAACTGTGATTGGGCCATTTTTCTCTCTGCTACCCAGAGTTATTTTGATAATCATTAAAAATTACTACTGGGCAACTTAAACCTCTTTTTGATACCCATCCAATAATTTGGTTTCCTTTATTAAAATGCATCCTTTGATTTTCCCAAAAATTGTAGTCTCTCAGTCTATTTCTAAGGGGCAAATGATTTTCACAGATGGTTCCTCTAAAGGTACAGCTGTAATCATAGCTTATCCCATCATTAACACAGCCAGAATTCCTGCAACTTTTGCCCAAATGACAGAACTTTCAGCCCTGGCCTTGGCTCTACAACTCTTCCCCACGGAAGCTTTGAACATCTATACCAATAGTTGATAGGCTGCTTGCTCATATTATCCAACCCTTAGAAACTGCTGCCTGTGTCACCCCATCTCTAGGATACAAGAGAGTTTATTACAGGTACAAGGTCTGCTATGGCAATGGAGCAAACCTATATTTGTGGGACATCTTAGGGCCCACACCCCTTTGCCAGGGCCCCTCAGCAAAGGAAATCACATGGCAGACAAGTATGCTCAAATAGGTGTGGTTTTACAAGGACTCACTAAAGCATGATCCCTACATAAGCACTTTCATCTCAGCACAGGGTCCTTAAGCTTTCATACTGGGATTACCAAAGAGCAGGCGGTTCAAATAGTTAAGGATTTCCCTCTTTGTGTAGAATTTCTTCCTGTGCCTCACTTGGGAGTTAATCCCCAAGGACTTCCCCAATCACATATGACAAATGGATGTAACACATGTGCCATCCTTTGGTAAATTACAATTTGTCCATATTTGTGTAGATACTTTTTACCACCTGACATTTGCCTCTGCCCACTCTGTTGAAAAAGTAAAAGATGTTAAAAACCACTGTTTACAGGCTTTTACTTACATTGGTGTCCCAAAATAGATTAAGACCAATAATGGCCCCACCCATGTCAACAGAGGTTTCAATCACTTTTGTCTAGATTTTGATATTTCTCCCAAAACTGAAATTCCTTACAACCCCCAAGGACAGGCTATCGTGGAACGTGCTCATTGCACTCTGAAGGCCTATTTAGCTAAAGTAAAGAAAGTGGACCTTGGGTGTCACCTTGGCTGTCTTCACTCTAATCTATCACTTATCCTCTATATCTTAAATTTTTTACTTGGGGATGCTTCTGGCAACTCCTCGGCAAATCGTCATTGTCCACTGTACAGCAAAAACCTCTGGTTAAATGGAAAGACCTACCATAGGGCCTTTGGAAAGGGCCAGATCTGGTTTGGTGTGGGCCAGGAGGATCTGTTTGTGTCTTCCCACAGGATGGTGAGTCCCCAATTTGGGTTCTGGAGTGTTGTGTGTGCTCTGTTCCTGCTGATACACAACAGCAGTCAATAGACCCACTAGGCTTTAAAGAGGAACCCTCCTGTCTTGATGCCAGCGGGTCTTCAGAGTCAGGTACACCTAGCTATACTCAGCTTCAACCTTAGCTTAGGAAAGGCAGCCGTCAGGATGGATTTAGAAAAGGAAAATTTATTTCTGAGATGCCTTGTGTTTTATCTTCTTATGAAACTCCCTCATATTTACATGGCTTTAAGCAATCCATCCATTGCTGATTTTTTCCTAATGCCTCTGTTATTGGCCTTAAGATCACCCCCTTTTTGCCTGACCCTAGGTATTGGTGGGGCCTGCTTAATTGATCCTCTTTTGAGCTGGGTCACACCAACCATCTCAGGTATGTCCCTCCGTAAGCCTTGTGCCTGCTTAGACATTTGCTGTATTCAATAACACTCCCTCGGGAGAAGTGCTTAATTATTTCCTCCATTAATGCCACTTGAGAAGCTGTTGAAATGGTGAAATATCAGTCTTGGTGGTCCATGTTCCTGGTGTCATGCCTATGCCAGTGGAACACTCAGGAAAGAACCAGCTCTTCCTTACACGACATGGGAGAGACTTTAACATCACTGCGGCTACAGTTTCTGGACTCCCTATCTCTTACCCGGTTGCCACGGCAGGCTTGCTGGATAAACTCTCAGGGGAGGTTACCTCTACCTTAAGTTCCCAAAATAATATCAATTCTCCTTCCAATTAGGCCTGTATGCAAGTTCCTGTTTTCTGACCATGCCTACCTGGACCCAACTTGAAATAAAGCAAGTTTGTGTCCCCCAGCCAAAGAACTAAGGCTCAGCTTGAGTTTCTTGTTGAGGTAGCTCAAATTGAGTAGGTATGTTGCACTGTGGAAGGTCATTTTCTGCCATCAGCACATGAAAAGAAGTAACTTCCCAAACGGCTGGTTGAAAAGGGGAGAAAATCAGATATGCAGAAGCAACCAGAGGCACAAGACAATGAGACCTAAAAATAGAAATTACAAAGACAGTAACTGGCTTGACTCCTGGTGATGTTTCTGCTTCCTGGATCTTGTCTCTGAGATCCTTTCGGTAAACTCTCTATTGAGTTGTTTAAAAGACTGCTGTCATTCGGATAGATGTGCATTGACAACCGGGTATGGGAGAAATGACTGTTCTGATTGGCAAAATAGTTCCAGCGTGACAGTAGTTTGTGAGGAGTCCTGTCCTGGAGCTCAGCAGCAGGCCCTGTACCACTTTTATGGGGAATGGTGACAGCCTGTGCCCAGCTAGGACTGGGGAGGCACTGTGCCTTTTACACCCTCCTGATCACTGGCAATTTGACAGCAGAAGCTAATGAATCCCACAGTTGGGGGCTGGGATACTTCTGACAGCTTCAGTAATGGAGAAAGTCCCCCTGGCTTCTTTGCTCAGGTGCTGGGGAGAAAGTACACAGGAGGGAGGTTGTTCCCCAGGTCGAAAACAATCAGAAAATTCTATCTCGGGGCCACTTTCGAAACCACAGTGTAAACAGAAGATAGGCAACAAGAAACTGCGTGGAAAAATCAGTTCCCATCTGAAAATAAATCTACATCTACCAGATAAAAATATTCCCCATTCCTGCTTCTGCTTTCTATCTTGTTCCTTTTCAGAACTTTCTTGGCTGCATACTATGGTTTTTTGTTTTGTTTTGTTTTCTATCATCCACCAGAAGATAGACTCTTTGTGGGTAGACTCTTGGCCAAGGTCATGTTTCATATAATAGCATTACTTTTTGATAATTTCATGCATGTGATGTATTTTTATCATATATGCACCCCCTGACTTCTCCCCACAACTCCTTCCAAACCCATCCCGTTTCCCCACCCTCCCAACTCCATGCCCATTCTTTCTCCCATCAAATCTCTTTCTCCTAAAT